CGCATTATTCGTATAGATAGTGATTTTTAGTTCTTTTAAGTCTTTCTTAGTCATTCTATTCTCGGGATTACTCTCATTCGGATGTAGTCTTAGTTTATTTATATATCCCTCATTTACTCGGGTGTCATGATATATAAGTTTACCAGCTAAATTAAATTAATTTATATATTCTTGCATGCTCATAAATGTTAAATGATTAAAAGAGTTAATCAAAATTATTATTATTATTTAAAAAAAAAAAATCATAAACTATTACTTATTAGAACTAAATATATTTTTTAAAAATGAATTGATTTAAAGAAAATATGATATCTCGGGAAATTGCCACGTGCGGATAGATATTCTAGAATGTGAATTAATTATTTCAAAAAATAAAATTGTTGAGCAATGACAGGCCACCACGTTTACAAATTATTCCACTTGACGAATTTACCCTTACCTTTAAATAACTTTATTGTTTTTTAAACTAAACTAATAAAAAAAATACTTTTTATATTTCAATAATACCCTTAAATTTTAATATAGGGAGACACTGAAAAGGAATGTACACCGTATTGGTATAGATAGTAACTATCAGTGCTTTTAAAACGTGTCTTAATCACCATATTTTTTAAGAATGGTCTCGTTTGAATGTGATATCGGTTTCTTCACGTACCCTTAATTTACTTGAGAGACACCTGCCCACCTGCTTCTGCCTTGGTTCGACCCCAGACTATATCTATATAGCAAGAAATTCTCCGCTTATATCTCGGAGTAGCATCCTTATGCAATTACGAACAAAATTAAATTAAGTATAATTAGTTTTCCTTCTTTTTCAAGAAAAGGCAAATACAAAACATTGCACATGGTCTCTTGTGCAACATAATTGTTCTTTTTCTCATAATATTTAAATGAAAATTTTATATTTTGCAACATTATTGTATCTTATAATGCACTCTTATACACTAAAATTCTTAAATTCATTTAATTAATATTTACTTTTTTAATTAAATAAAAACACTTATTATTAATATTATCTTTGTATTAGTTACATTTTTTTTACTGTATAACGGAAAATACGTATATATATGTATATATATATACATATGTATATATACATACATATGCATATGCATATGTATATATATATATATAGTTGAACCTTCTAGAAGGAATCAACTTCAATAATTAAAATTTAAAAAAATAAGCAATTTCTAGAACCCAACAATTTTTTAGTGAATTTAATTTATTAATTTCTTCAATTTCTCAATTATTTCTTAATAGAGTCAAATTTTAATTATAACCATTTAATAATGATTTGATTCTGAATTAATACTTTCAATTAAATATATATATATATATATATATATATATATAGTTTTTCAAGAAAATAATTACAATTTTATAATTATAATTGTATTAAATAAATAAACAAAATTAGAAAAAAAATTAATTTGACTATTGCCATTTTAATATTGGGTATGGTCTTCAAGATTGAAAAAAAACGTCTTTATTCAACAAATACAAAATAATGGTTATTGATGTTTAAAGTTATTTAAATTTTATAATCTGAAAATTAAAAAATTAAATTGGTTAAAATAAATTAAAAATTAAGAATTATATTTTAAAGTTTGGTTAAAATTGGAGGAAAGATTGGGATAATGACACGTAGCAGTGAGAATTAAATTATTATTATTATTTTGTTGAAAATTAAAAGAACGAAGAGTAAACGGTGTTGAAATTTAGCGCCTTTAAATCTCTGCCTCGAGGACTCTTCCCTCTCATCTTCCTTCACGTTCTTCAATTTCTTCTTCTTCGATTCAAATTTTCTTCTGATTTTGCTCTCTCTCTTTGATTGTTTGCGGCGATTTTCCATTGGAGCTCTGTGATTTAGCGGCACGAAGTTTCATAGCCCTAAATTTTACGACCTTCTTCTCAACTCAATTCCAGTGCGTCTCTGAATCGAATCGGTAAATTCCTCGTCTCAAATTTTGGTATGTTAGGAACTGGAACGTGAAGTTTTCGAGTGTTGAACTTGATTGTTTTTTTTTTTCTTCTGTGGCCGATTCTTGATCGGAAAGTGTTCTTCCATCTTCAATTGAAAATTTAATTTTCGACTTAATGAAGGGACCGCTCTATGGCTTGGAAATGAAGTTAGTTTCCTGTTTTCGTTATGAAATTCTAAAAACTTTTCATCGGAAGAAGATTTGATAACTCATAGTTCTAACTGCATAAAGATTCAGTGTTCTATCTGCATGTTTACTTGATTTTCTATGTGACTGGTCTTTGAAATCCATTTCAGATTGTTAGAAATGTTCTAGAAATCTGGATTTAGATATGGATTTGCATGTTTTAGAAAAGATAGTTTAGTTTGGAGGTCGAATCTTTATTTAATAGAGAGGAAATTGCCAATTCGGTGAAGAGTTCTAATTCAAATGTCATTATCTGCTGACTCTAGCTCGAGACTCTTCCATGTTTGGTTTTTGTTTTCTATTGATTAACGTGCGGAATTACTCAAGATTTATTTATGTTAGATCTGAATATGGATAGTTTAAATCCAGAAACATTTCTAGAAGGTCAACTCCCAAATAGAATTTAAGTTTTTTGGATTGGCTCTTGCTTTAAGTATGCAGGCGGAGGCATTAACCATGGGTTTGTCTTTATAATATTCTCAAGAGCTCTTATCTCCTTGGCCCTATCTTTCCTTGGGGTTGAAGGTATTCATTTTTGTAAAAAGAGCCAGAACAAGTTCATCTTCTTCATGTACATATGAATTTACTTGTTCTTGTTGTCCTGTTCTATTTATATCATCTCTATTTCTTCAATTCTGCATTAGTTTTGTGGGTTTTGATCCAAAATTGATCTGAAATTTTATGATTTGGCAGTTTTGGTATCTCAGAAGGGTTCTTTACTACAGAGTATATGGACATGGAGCAGTACTTTGAGGAGATTAATTCATTTGGAGAAAACAAGTCTTCTGTGGAGAATTGGAAATCAGCTTTGGATGCCATGGCAGAAACTCAATGTGATTCCTCTGGGCTATTTGACTGTAACATATGCTTAGAGACTGTGAAAGATCCTGTTGTTACACTTTGTGGCCATCTCTTTTGCTGGCCCTGTATTTACAAATGGCTTCATTTTCAGGACAGCTCTACAGAAAAACAAGGCCAACGACTCCAGCAATGTCCGGTTTGTAAGGCGGAAGTTTCTGATGCTACGCTAGTCCCGCTCTATGGCAAAGGTGAAACTCAAGATCCATTCGAAAGCAAGAATTCGCAGCTTGGAATCGTCGTCCCTCGTAGGCCTCAAGGACCTGCTTGCTTTGAGTCACCAAGGGCAACCTCTCACCCTGTTCTTCAATTCCAGCAAGGAAATTTATCGGATCAGTCGAACATTTACTATGCTGAAGGAGTATTCGGAGAAATGGTTTATGCGAGAATGTTCGGTGCGATAACGAATCTATATGCATATCCGAACTCATACCCTCTTGTGTGGAGCAGTAGTCCTAGGATCAGAAGGCATATTTTGCAGACGGATGAATCACTCAACAGAATCTGTATCTTTCTTTTCTGTTGCTCAATTATCTGTCTTCTTTTGTTCTGAGGCGCGTAGGTTTTTGGTTTTTGTCTCTGACCCATTGTAAAAGAATCGTAGTTCGAACACTGCATGATTGCGGATTGAGTCTGATGTAGGTGTGGCTGAGTGTTGGTGGCGATGTTGCCCCTTTGCCTGCCCTTCTTTTGCAGTTGATGTAAATAATAATTTTGCTTACAGCCTCATTTACATGGAGTCTATTGCACTCTTGACTCTTGGATAACTTGATTGGCCAGTTTCAAACTAACAAAACAGATATTGAAATCACGGTACATGGACTGCTTTCGGAGCAATTTGGTAGATATCGTTTCAAGTTAACCATATCTTAAATTGTCAATAAACAATCCATGTGAATCAAGCATCGAAAAGATAACAAAAAACATCACCTTCTATTGTGGGTCGAAACAGTCAGAAACAGGGGTAATGGACCGAGTCTAAGGTCGACAATCCATGGCTATGGCATCCTAGAGCTGTTGGTAGCCAACAGTTCAAATCAAACATATAGACTTGACTCTAGAGATTGCACACAGCACACTGTTTTTGACTTCTCTTAATTGTTTATGATATCATAAAGATTGTTAGAGGACATAACTTTAAGAAACAAACAATCTAAATCTGAAAAAGACATTCATTTCTTCGTTCTTCACTTCAACCTTATTGGTAAAAGGTTCTAAAATAATGTGGTAATAGGTGTGGTAATAGATCAGCTTACTATTGCTTTTGGTCAATCAAAACTACAATTAAAAGATTAACCAACTAACCAATCAAAATCGGTCGAAAACCCATCAAAACCCTGTAAATCAACCAAAACGGAATAAAACTAACTAAAGTCGACTAAGAGTATAAAACTAACTGAAGTTGACAAGGACTGCATAAAACTAATTGAAGTCGACAAACACTGTATAAAACTAACTAAAGTCAACAAACACTGTATAAAACTAACTAAAGTCGACCATGACTGTATAAAACTAACTAAAGTCGACCACGACTGTATAAAACTAACTAATGTCAACCAAAACTGTATAAAATAACTGAAGTTGGATAAGACTGTATAAAACTAACTAAAGTCGACCAAAACTGTATAAAACCAAGTAAAGACGACCAAATCCGAAACAACCAACAAATTCCAATTTTCAATTTTATAAAACGAAACTGGTCAGAAAGTACTGCTTCTGCTAGTTGGTTAATGTTCAGTTTCTGCTTGCACTCCAAGCAGAAGCTCCATTTTCTACTAATATGGGAAGAGTCAAAGTCAACAAGATTCAAGATTATGCATGTTTCTATCAGAAGTTCCACTTGCAAAAGTCCCTACAGATCTTAAGCAGAAGAGTTCTTGCCCTCTGCTAGTGAAAAGACTAGAGAAACAACATTGAGCCTGAATGAAAATATTCCACTTCTTATCCTTCTGCTAGTCAAAAGACGTGGTGATCGGTGAAATGAAAAGTATAATGCATACTCAAATTTTGATTTCCAAGGCTTCACATGGCATACAAGGTGAAAAACAGGTTCAAAGGAAGTACTCTGACTATTACCAGAAGATAAGATTTCCAAATTACAGAAACCAAATATCTTGAAACTATAGGGATCAAATTTGCAATCTAGCCAAAATTGATACCGTGCTATAACAAGGATGACGGGTGGAGAGGAACAAAAACACTTCACTTCATACCGAAGTCTCTTCATTCTTTAGCACCTCAGCAAAGTTGAGCTTGTTTAGATCCGAAGCATGATCGATTCTCTCAATATGATCGTCCAGGCCGAATTGATCGAGAGCACTTGACGTTTGGTTGTCACTGTGGATATAATCTACAAATCTATCGTTAATATGTGAGGAGATAATGTTGTGTTTCCCAAGAAGTCTCACGATTTCCTCTACTGCCTCCACATTTCCATTTGTTTTCAAGTATTCAAGACATGCGGCCAAGGTATAATAATTAGGCTTCCATCCAGGTGGACTAGCTGAAATTGCTTTCTTCATAGCTTCCACTGCCTTCATCGTCTGATCATTGGCATGATATCCAGTTGCTAGTCGATCCCAAGTGTTTGCTTGTGGTTCCTTGCCATTCTCCATAAGCCTGCTTATATATGCTTCTGCCTTATCCACAAGTCCCTTCTTACAGTAACTATTTACCATCATGTTCGGAATCTTGAAGTCGAAACATGTATCCCCTGATTCCCATTCCTTCAAGATTTCTTCAGCACCCTCAATATCATCCAGTTTCATTAATGAACTGATTATACAAAGATATCCTGTATTGTATCTTCTTTTCAGATTAGCGTACAAGTTCCAAACCCGATACACCTGATCCTTATTTCCGATAGCAGCATACAGTGTAATGAGACATTCATATGCAAACCACCTTTGCTTATCACCAATGAGTTGCTCTGATCTCTTCAACATCAGTAAACTTTTATCAGAAAGACCAGCTTTGAAGTATCCATTTGCTACGACGAAATACGCGTGCCAATCCATAGAAATTAGTGGGTCTGCCTCCATCTTCAACAAAAGCTTTTCCATGTTTGTTACATCGGAATTAGCTGCATATGCATTCATACGAATGTTGTATGTAAATCGATCACGAGCAATTCCCATCTCTTCCATCTCTTCTATTAATTCATCAAGTTTTTCATGTTTACCCAGATGAGCATAAAGGCCTAACATAGTATTATAAGGTAATGGTGTTTTCACAAATCCTAATTCCCTCATCTTCTCCATGAGTGCCTCTGCCTTTTCCAATTTTTTATCCTCTACGTAACAGTTAAGAAGTGCTCCATAGACCTTATAATCTCTTGAGGATTCCCTGATGCTGTTAAAATACTTCTCTGCTTGTTCCAAGCCATGAACCTTTGAAATTAAGTGCAACTGAATAGCAATGTCCCCTGGTGACGGTTCTTGGTTCCTTTCATTACTTATCCATTCACACAACTGTTGCCCAACGGATATCAATATTGTCAAATAGTGCATAACGAAGACAAATTTTTAGTCTACCATATCTAGATGATCCAATTTCAATGCTTCTATATGAGTGAAGAAAACGAGCAACAGAGATGTATGCCAAGTTGCACCAAAATTTCCATACAAAACTATCTCCACAATAAGAAAAGAGAACAATGCCATAACAATAAATGAATATTCAGATGCCATCCACTCTCCTCTTCGATCAATTAGACATTCATTATCATACGAAAGGACCAGACCAGAAAAAGAAGAGAATTCTGAAGTATCGTACAGAAGTAGTAAAAATTAATATGATTTCAGAACAAGTGGTACCTGCAGAGCATGGTTGAAGCGACGGAACTTCCTGAGCTGCTTGATGAGCTTTTGGAGATCAGATTGCTTGACTTCTCGGCCTTCTTCTACCCACTGATCCAGCACGCTAACAATGGAGATTCGAGGATCGCCTGCCTGAGAAACTCTTCGGTAGAGAGAATCCTCTGGACTTCGAAAAGAAGTTGATCCTAAAGTTGAGTAGAATAGAGGCCGCAAAATCCTTGAATTGCAGTAACAGCGCCATGGCTGCAAGGAATGGAGCTTCATCATGGTCGGTCTCAGCACTGAGGAGTCGACGGGAAGTTTCAGGCGGAGGGGTTAGGAGGGTTTGCGATCGCCACATTGGTGGCTCCATGGGCCTTCTACAGTGGTCCAGCCCATCAATTTAGGGCTCACTTTTCATCATTTATGTTAATTTTTTATTAATTAGATTAATTTTAAGAAACTCTAAAATTAAGTTAGACTCATCCTTTCTTTCTTTTTTAATGAAAAAAAAATCATTAAATTCCAAATTATCACGTCATTATTTATAAATTAATAAATTTTACATTTATGATCATTTATAAATTAATATATGTTTCAAATTTAATTTAAATGCAAACATCAAAAATCGGTATTACACCCAGGAATGAGTAATGTGATCATATACTATCGGAGCCATTAGGAACCAAACTATAGGATTTTAAATTTTGATTTGAATCCTAAACATGAGTCGTTACAAAATTGTATCAAAGTGGTTCCTCTTTCAATAAGATGTGGTTTAGGGATGAATCAGGGTAGAAGGTAATGGACACGCGACACCCACTCTAATCTGAATCCTAGGCATGAATCGTTACGAATGGTGTTAGAGAGATTGTGATATCCCATATTGGTTGGAGAGGGGAACAAATCACTATTTATAAGAGTAGCCGTTTTAAAGCGTTGATGGGAAGCCCGAAAGAGAAAGCCCAAAGAAGACATGAGTCTTTGATTTTTTTTTTTTTAATATTTTTTTAGTTCATATAAGAAACATATAAAATGATGGAATAGAAAAGAAAAAGAAAAAAAAAAAAAAAAAAAAAGTGGCACGTGCGAGCCAACTCAAGTCTATGGTACACCAAGGTGGACACGTGTAATGGGATAGTGGTGGAAATTCCATTCCCAGTCACGTGCGGGAAAAAGAAAAATAAGGGAAAACAAAATATTAATTAATAAAATTATCCTGTAAACTATATAGTAAAATGATTAATTAGAGTTAATTTTAATGTTAAGCTCCATCGGGTCACATGATAATGATAATGATATGATATTAAATCATATTAATATCTCCTTATAAATATTTACAGCATAATATAATTTTAATCACAAAATAATGGAATAATTGCATTTATTAAAATAATAAAAAGCAATTATTGGAGTAATTTCCGGTATAAAGACAGGCACGTGGCAGATTGGACATTCGATTCAACAACGTCCAATATTCTTCCACATGCATTCTAAAGTCATAATATCCTTTCCCTTTTATTTTATTTTATTTATTTATTTATTTATTCCACACATGGATTTGAGAATCAACTCTCTTTTCCTTTTTCTTTTCCACTTTTATTTATTTATTTTTTTTTTAACCTTTTTTTATCCTTAGTAGGTAAAAAAAAAAATCTAATATGACCAAAAATATCAAATTTTTGAAATTTTGTTCATAAGCCACCGACACTATGGTTTTGTTTTCGGATGTAAGGTCATAATCAAAATATAATATAATTTAATATGTATACTGTGTTTGACATTAAGGTTTTCTTTTCGGATATAAGGTCGTAATCACACTGTAAGTGAGACTGTTATTACTATAATTTGGGTTTTGTTTTTGGACATAAGATCGTACCGTGTTTCAGTGAGATGAATTTTACCGGGAGTAGCTAGATATTTGTTCAAAGGTTAGTCCTCCTCTTGTTCATTAGCGGTGTTCGAACAAGAGCTAACTTACAAAAGAACGAAGAAAATCATGTTGGAGAAAATTGGTCATTTAATATAAATAGGGCAAAAATAAACCCTTTTTCGTAGGGGTATTTTTGTCGTGTTCAGTGGAAAAATATGACGACGTTCGTCTAGATCTTGACAAAACTATCGGTTTTAGAAAAATAATGATAGAGTTTGTTTTGGATTGTTCTATCGTCGAGATCAAATAGTGATTCGTCGGAAGAAATCAAATTATCATAGGTGAAGATTCGAGGCGTACGAAAATTTTAGTCTTTGCCTGACGTCGCCAAATGAAACAGAACGTTTAAAATTATATATATAAAAGATAAACTTTTAGATTAATATATTATCTTCAAATTTATTTATTTATTTATTAAAAAAAAAAACTCAAATAATTCACAAAGAAAGCAAAGCATCATTAGTGGAAAAAGGCAGTGCACGTGATCGATGGGGCAAAGCATCTCACAACCCAACAAATAATTGCTTCAAAGGTCAACAAAATCTGTAAAATCAACAACTCTCAAAACGACGTCGTTCCTAATTCCCAACCGCCATTTCATTTTTCGACCGTTATCGTTTCGCCCAACCCCAATAAATAAATAAATAAATAAATAAATTTATTAACGGTCAGGACGAAAACGACGACGTAATAACTGTTGGATTGTCCTCCAAGCCGGCACCCGAAATCTTGCCATAACTGCCGGTGAGCCCATTTATTATTGATACCCAATGGCCCACCGTAATTAAACCAAAAACCGAGGGCCAAACCGTCATTTCGTTCAAATAATGTTATATTTACACACATTATAAAACCTTCTTTAATTCCAACTTCCTTGGCATCTCAAAAACTGTCGGCAGGGCGCTGTGGACCGACGTTTTTGGTTTATAACTACTTTTCCACTGTTTTTTTTTCCCAATCTGGTAGTTCACGGCGTCGCCGCCGACTTACAACCACCGTCAACATGCTGCTCCGCCGTGGCCATGCTACATTTTCGTCTTGTGGGTACTTATGGAGTGGGATAATGTTGGTGAATATGGTCGTGATGGGGAAGTTTCTTCTCGTTGAATCAGTTCGGCTTCAAAATCGTACGTCAGCTTCTCATTGGCTCCCCGCCACCGCCACCTGGTATGGCAGTCCCGAAGGCGATGGCAGCAACGGTCAGTAAAATTAATTACTCGTAATTTTTTAAAACCTAATTCATTGTTAATTAAACTTTAATAGAAATTAGCATTGTTTTTCATATGGGTTTTTACTCGAGGGAATTTTATTGATATTTTTTAGTCACGAACGTAAGAATTTAAGTCGTAATTTTGGAGACATAATGGTTTCAGGTGGGGCATGTGGGTATGGTAGTTTGGTGGATGTGAAGCCATTTAAGGCGAGAGTTGGTGCAGTGAGCCCTGTCTTATTCAAGGACGGTGAAGGGTGTGGCGCATGCTATAAAGTCCGTTGCTTGGACCGAACCATATGCTCCAAACGAGCCGTTACCATAATAGTCACCGACGAGTGTCCCGGTGGCTATTGCTCCAATGGTCGCACCCACTTTGATCTTAGTGGCGCCGCTTTCGGCCGCATGGCTGTCGCCGGTGCCCACAGCCGTCTTCGTGATCGAGGCGAACTCTCGGTCACCTACCGACGGTAAAGTTCTAATCTTTTGATTAAAATTGTAATATCCTAATTGAGCTATACTCATGTTGATATAAAATTTTTAACAGGACTCCATGTTTGTATCGTGGGAAGAACATAGCCTTCCATGTAAACGAAGGTTCTACCGATCATTGGCTCTCGCTTTTAGTGGAGTTCGAGGATGGTGATGGAGATATTGGTTCTATGCAAATCAAACAAGTAAGCTTTTAATATCTGATTATTTACGTGATTGTGATCTGTAACATTTATATTAAATCGTTAATATTTAATACAAACCTAATAAAATGTAATAACTATAGTGTAATAAACTATATATTATAATGGGGAGATGTATCCATGTGACAAAGGGGCCACAATTGAGAAAAAATATCAAATTCAAAAAAGGGTAAGAGACAACACATAGTGAGCACGTTGAAATATAATGATATAGTTTAATTTTGGGTTGTCTCCATCTCATTTTGACTTTAATATACTTAAAAAAACTATATATTAAAAAAAATACATCTCATTAAAATACATTATAGTTTAATAACTTTAGCTCGACATGATATGATATGATAACGATGCAGGCAAAGTCGAGTGAGTGGATGGAAATGGCACACGTGTGGGGGGCGACGTGGTGCATAAATGGAGGACCTTTAGAGGGGCCATTCTCGGTGAAGCTAACCACGTTATCCACTGCCAAGACTCTCTCGACTAGAGATGTTATCCCGAAGAATTGGTCACCAAAAGCTACTTATACTTCTCGCTTGAACTTTTCATAAGAAATTAATATTTTATTTTAAGAGAGAAAAAAAATTAAATAATAGTAATAATAATGTTTGGTTATTGGAGTGGTAGCCATCTCCAAAGGGAGAGAGAGCGTATGTATTTTTGTTTATGTTTGTTTTAATTTTACTATGCGTTTATATATTTTTAAAATTTTGTAATTATAGTTTCACTCGACTATGTTGGTGTTGGCGTTGGCGTTGAATCTTGTTAAATTGACGTCCCACGACCCAAAAAAATTTAAACTTTTGGGTTGGGGGCAGATTAACCGGCTAAAGTAGAGATTGATCACGTGTTCAAAAACCTAGTAAAGGTATCTTTTTCCAACTGAATATCGACAACAACCTATAAGCTTCTATAAGGAGTGATAATTAAAAGGGCTCAAATTTTAAAGATAAACAATAATTTATCGAGACGTTTTCTTAATCTTACAATAGCGGAATAGATATTATTAGAAAAAACAAAAATAAAGACAGGACACTTTAAATAAAGATAAAAGACATAAAGACTACCACCTCACATGCAAAAAAAAAAAAAAAAAAAAAAAAA